GTTGTTAACGTTGTTCTTTGTTTCTGTTGTTGAACGCCGCACACAAATGATGTCGCTGTCGACCGGCTTACTGTCACTTCCTAGTACACACTGTCGGTGCGAATGCAACCCTTTAAATGGTACTGGGAAATAGTTCGCACAAAATCGTCCCAGTAATTCAGTACTGTACATTTAGTCCTGGAACTAAAGCGGTGCGAAAGGCCCTATTAGTGCATAATAAAACTACAACACTACTGTCCTGTACCTGCTTTTGGGTCTTCCACCTTGCAGTCGTCACCTTTGGTTTTCGAGAGGACGCAGGCTGAAGCGGTGAACCACTCAAACTCATAGATGCATCCATCACTGGACACGCTCCTCAGGACTGGAGCGCTCTCAACATCTCCAGGCTTACACTTCAGAGTGATGATGGTTTTCACTTTCATGTTCTCCCCGCATTTGTCTCCATCAGTGTAAATGAGTCTGATGTCATCACCCTCTGCTGCCTTTTGCGGAGAAATCAGGAATTTGCCCAAGTTCATAGTTTTCCCAGTGCCTAAGAGAAGAAAATTTGGGTTCGAATGAAATGTCCTGAGTAAGATGGAACAGAAAAAAGGTTTTATTTATATCTAGGATATAATCTCTAATGGTGCACTGACCTACTGCACATATTGCTGCGTCCTCAGGGCAAGATCTGGTCTCCTCGTCTTGGATGATTTTATGACAAACATTGATGTAAAAGCGTTTCTTATCAGACTCTGCTGCCTTGGTGCCCACAGCCTCCCAGTTTTGAGATCCCTCTGATTCTGAGAGAAAACCATTTACAATAAGCAAAATTAGGTGCTGGTACAACTACTTTTTGAGACGTTTATAGAACCTTTCATATTTCAGAAAACAGGTTTTAAAGTATTAGCCTGTGATCATTTATTTTATGGCCCATCAAATACTAATGACTTATCCTTTAATCCAGCCTGCAATTTTTTTGTATATATTCAAATGAGCTTCCCCACCTACAACATTTTTTGATTTAGCCTTTAATGTTACTAATTTCTGTCTGTTCCTCATACAAAGTGGTAAGCATTTTTATAGTGCATTTTTTTCCCTATATGCTGAATTAATATTTTTGGAAGGTTCCACAGAATTTTTTCTTTCTATTTAGCTGTACTTTTCTTTTAGAAATTAGGCAATGCTTTGGCATGGTGAAGTAAAAATAAATAAATGAATGAATAAATAAACAGTCGGATAGATTAGTCAGCAAGATTATTTTTTAAATGAAATCATGTTTATTCAGCTAGGATGATTTAAATTGATCAAAGGTGACTAAAGATATAAATGGCAAAACATAATTTATATTTCAAAGAAATATTGTTCTTTGAACTCTATTCGTTAAAGAATTAGGGGGGGGGGGGTTAGTTTAAAACTAATTACGTTTTAAAAAACATTACAACTGTATGGACTTATCGGAGAAGGGCTTTGTGTTTTTGCTAAACTCATGGTAACACCTTCATGCATGTTTTTTTATGTTTACAGTGAATTTTTACTATACTTGTTCTCAAAGTTCCTGTTCTTACCGTTTGCCTTCAGTGGGAAAAACAAACTCAGTTTCCAACAAACTGCCCTCTGATTTATCTTAGTAACAAAAAAGTACCAAAATGTACCATACCAAAAGAGTATGATGGAAATACCATGTTATTACAACCAAGTACCATGCCAATGTTGTGCCTTTTTTTTTTTTACTGAGAACCATGGAAATACTAGGGGTGGGAATCACCAGAGGCCTCACGATACGATATTATCACGATACTTGTGTCACGATACAATATTATTAATCTAGTCCACCTTAATTAAATGTAAACCGGTATGCACTGCTGTGCTACTACAGGTATTTTAAACAGTGCAACTTGAAATTGGACTAAAAAGTTGTGCAGACCCTTCAGCAATTGGGGCATTTGAAAGTAAATTACAGTTAAATTTAAATTAAATTCAATAAAACATGTCTTACATCTAGGGATGCACCGAAATGAAAATTCTGGGCCAAAACGGAAACCGAAAATTCTGGATGCACTTGGCCGAAAACCGAAACTGCTTCATAATGATTATTTATTATTTTATTAAATAATATAAAGTAATTTTGTAAGACTTTTTAAATTACCTTAATATAACATTTACATTACATTTAGTCATTTAGCAGACATAGATTGATATTAAATATCAATATATTATTTGTATTCACTTCTATGTAACAGAATCAGATATAAGTTGTTGTTGTTGTTTTTTGACTAATTATCCAAATAATGTATAGTCCTACAAAGCTATTATTATCAGAGCATATGAGCAGAGCATAGCGGA